CTCCCTCCCCATAAAGCCTATTCATTTTAGAGATGTTACAAAATAAACGAAGTACAATAAAAAAATTGTAAAAACAAACAGATGCAATTGTACAGAACTGCATAGCGCAGTCTAAGCTGTGGAGGTGCAAGTATTGACATGCAGAAACCACAGCAAGTAAAAACTGTGTTCTATTGCCAGATGTAAGTATCTTTAAAAAAAAGAAAGAAAAAAAATTACTAAAATGTTCTTTTCTCACTTTTTTCCCCCTCCAGTTTAGAGGATTGATCACTTCTAATTCATGACATTATTAGAGTTTAATGTTTTCTAACAGAAAGGTTTTGGTCAGTTTGGAAAATCATCAGGGCATTTCTCATAATCAGGAAGAGAACACATACCATGAATACTAGTTCCTGCATAGAGTCCTTTTAAAGACACCTATATCTCATGGATACAAATGAATGTGCTGGTAACTGACTTTTCAGAGTATTCTTTGAATTAGATTTTTCTTCTGATGGGCAAGTGTATTGATTCCATTTTTACTTATCTGGGGGAAGGAGGAGTAATTTTATAGGGACTTTATGCTTTAAGGTAATTTCAGCCCCAGTGCAACACAGCACCAAGTAAAATTAAAGCAGCAGCTCGAAAGCCTGAAATTAAGCACATGCTTACATTTATTGACAGCAAAAAATATTCTCCAGAGTCCTAATTATTTACTGGTGTTTGTATGAGGCGGTTGAAAGATTACCTTTACATTGTTAATTTCAGACAAAGGACAACATCTTCATTTAGCAGTATTTTTATCCGGTGAGTAACGGAGGGTATTGCCATTAATTTTACTGGCGTATTTCTGAGATGCTTTTTTTAAACCAACATTCAAACAAACATAGCTATTCTGTCCTGTGGTTCAGAAATAAATTTTTCAAAATATAACTCCCTTCAAAACAGCTGTGGCAACACTCCGTAATTTCCAAGGAGAATTTCTGAAAGCCACAGAAAAAGGATCTAACAAAAGTTGGTAGAGACCATACATTTGCCATACTTTGGGAAAACTCAGACATGTCTCAGTGTGGACTTCCTGCAGTATCTAGAATATGCTCATTTCCCAGTGTAAGAGTCCTCCAGAAAGTGCATTCTTTTGTGTTTATTCCTTTAATCGTGACACTTTTCTGATGAGCTACTGGGCTTTCCAAGGGAAATAAGTATTTTGGGCTGTGGTCTAAAAGAATACCTTTCTTCCATTGAAAAATAGCCAAAATCTTACAATAACATGTCCTATTAAAGGTACTTAACTATATTCCCACATTACTACTTAAAATAAACACTGTTGCTCTCAGCTTCAGAAAATAGATCTTTGTACTGATTCTGGTACCACCAACCTAATAATTGGCAAGACTTTCAACCACATTTGCTTTGGAGCAGTGCAAATAACACTGGAAAGTTATTTTAAACTCTATGGCAGACTTTAATATATTCTTGCTGGTAAGACATTCACTTGTGCCTTGGAATTGCTCCTTGACTTTTAGCTTGGCTTTGCTGCACTTGGCGCCATTTTTATATACCGTGAAGGACTCGCATTTAAATTTGAATATTGATTTTGTACTGCCACTCAGTGCTCTTCTGTGAAAAATGCATAGTAGTCCTGCTATTAATCTCCTTTAATTAAATATTCAAACTGCCTAAGAAATTCCTCTGCTACCTAATAAAAATTTATGAATAAAATGAATATTAAAGTAGAAATCCCCAAGAAATCAGATAGCACTGCAATTAACAGTCAATTTGTTAGAGCATTAACCAACCATGAGTTCTCCTCATGATGTTGGCTTTTAAAATAGCCACTAACCACTAATCAACAAAATGGGGATGGTGAAGCTCGGGACTGAACAAAATTGGAAGAAATTAGTGGAACTCTGTGACAGTCTTTAAGAGATCTGATGTTGTTGCTGGTTTGGTAATCTGGTTTTCTAGAGGCTTGCATAATCCAAAACTGCAGAATAGTTTAAATTATATACATTTGCGCTTTTTGTCTCTTTTCTCTTTCCCCCACCCCACCCCCCCTTAGGTATTGTACACAAAGGAAATGGTGAAAACATGTTCATTTCCCAGCAGCCACCAGTCATCTCCACTGTGATGGGCAACGGGCACCAGAGAAGTGTCTCTTGCTCCAACTGCAACGGTCTTGCACTCAACAGCAAACTCTTTGCCCCGGTTGCTCTTGCTTCTGGGCCTGATGGTAGCGTGTATATCGGTGACTTCAATTTTGTCAGGCGGATCTTTCCCTCTGGAAACTCGATTGGCATATTAGAATTAAGGTAAAAAAATAATTAGCTTTCTCTGGCTAGTGTTCATTATCCTGGCTGTGATATGCCTGTGAAAACTACAGTGAGCCTTTTTTCCCTTGGGACTTAAAGCAGCAGCCGCATTTAGTTGCGTTGTGAGCATATGTCTCATCAACTGTCAAACACACTCATCAGAAAACTTGTGCTTACTTTAAAGTCATCCGTTAAAAAGGGCATCCTAAGTAGCCTTTAGAACAGGCTTTGGGTAATGAATTTCTACAAAGTGCAGGATTAATAGAGCTAACTTTTCTTCCTGCAGAATTTTTCATATATTTTCTCAAAAAGTTAAGATGTTCTATGAAGCATATTTTTGAAGCAAACCCCATAGTTCAACAGCAAATATGCAGAGTGTCATGGCAAGTCCCAGCATTGCGGCTGAAGATAGACTATGACTATATAGATAGACCGTGTTTAAAATTAATATAATTAAATCGTTCCTCACCTGTAACAGAGGATGTGACTGAGCTGAAGCAGACAAGAGCAAACCGGGCTTGGCAGTCTGACATGTCACAGGCTGGGCCTGTGCCACCGTTGATGACTCCCCTGTAATTATGTCTCCAGCTTCCCATTCCTTGTCAGGGGCAGAAAGGAAGGCAGGAAAGGTTTCTGACACCAACTTATTTAACACTCATGAATCTCCAACTAGTGAACACTGCTGGTGGTGATGTGTGCTGCTTGTTCAGTATTAACTTGACAATGTGCAGGCGGTGGAAAGGAAGCTGTTTCAGAGAAAGAAATAATACCAAGTAACAGGATAAACAAATGTTTTGTAACTGGGATACAGCTCTGTGTGCAGTCAGGCAAAGAATACAGTTTTGTGGAGAACTAACATTTCTCGTCTTTCTCTTTTTTTTCTTGTCTTTCTCCCTTTTTTTTTTTTTTAAACCTGAACCAATCTGTCTTGCTAGGAATAGAGACACAAGACACAGGTATGTAAAACAGTGACAGTAATATGTGAACCATGTTCGAGGAAACAGTCTTACAAAAGTCCTTTTAGAAGTCTGGATAGAGAAACACTCTGAATTTAATAGAAATGTTAATCAAATTCACCTTTGTTTATAGTAAGTTTGACATGTTCCCTTTGAAGGAATAAAATCTCCCTCTAAAAATCAGTTTGCTGATCACCAAGCAGAGCTGAAGAGGTTTAAACCCAAAAGCTGGGAATGCATTTCATAGCTGTCATATTCATTTCACGTGGTGTTTGAATGGTCGTAGATATAGCCAGCCAAGGCAACCGGAGCTTTAGCAGCAAAGAAATAACAAAAAAAAAGGCTTCAGAGTCACACAAGAGGACTGCGCTGCAGTGGTTCCAGGATACTACAAACTTTACAGTCTGCCACGGTTACAGAGGGTGCACAGCAGACCCCAGTCCGGGGGATGCTGTGGCACAGCTCAGTCCTTGCTTCTCCAGCTAAAGCAAAAGCAAGCCGCTTCCTCCCTTTCCAGTTAGCATCTTGGCATTGCAACGTAGGGATTTCTTTAAAAGAATGAACGTTGCACATTAAGCTTCTGCAACAGACGGTGAGGGAGTTGGTTATAACAATCCAGCTGCAGAAATTATGTTGCACGCTAGAAAGAGATAGCAAGGCACTCTCTATCCGTAGAAACAAACTTCTTAGCATCTCAGTACTTAAATGATATAAATAAACCAGCACCAGTACAACGTGGCATAGTAGGAAGCAGAGTGTGGACTGAACTTGTGTTTGCAGGATGAGAGGAGTGGTTGGAATTACTTGCTTTAGCCACAGGAATGCTATTGAATCCTGTAGAGTATTTGTCAGCCTACTTACAGATGATGTCGCATCTCATATTTTACAATGAAAACTTAGAAAGAAAGAATAGTTCCTCCTTGGTAAGTGCAAGGTTCTGGTTTTTTAACTGAAGGATTGTTTCTATTTGCTTTAAACTGACAAGTATCTTTGTAAACTAAAGAAAAGAAACAAATAGAACTTATTTACTCTGTAATGCATCCAGAACATGAATTGGGTTTTAAATTCAGGGATTTCTCTTGTGAATAGAATTTTTTTAATACCTGCTCACTAGTACCGTTTTCTTGAGATAAGCTTAAACTTTAATGTCAAATTGTCAAATGTCAAGCTTAAACCTTAATGTCAACCAATGTCAAGTTGTGACAATACTCAAGTAACCCAGCCCTATTAATTGCAATAATAATAGCCCCTGTCAGTATTCTGTCCAAGTGGAATCTGTGCAAAAATGGAGGAAATCACTTGGGGTTATGGCGGAGTACTCAGCAGTCCCGCTGCGCACCGTTCTCTTGAGGCTGTAAAGGCCGTAGACATGGTGGAAATTTCTAGGATGTTCTAAGAAACACGTAGAAGCAACAACTAAAAGGTGTCGGAGGCTCATGACAGCCCAAGCAGGAAAAGGCTTCAAAATCCAGTTCCTCGACACAACTCTTATCTCCAAAAGAGCAAGGAAAAAGGGTTCTTTTTACCAGAGCAAAGAAAATACTGTGTAAAATGGGATAGAGTTTGGAGACCAGTAAATGGAGAAGGTCACTGGTCTTACTTTTGGCTGTTTAAAACCAACTTTTTCTGTCATCAAGATTTTAGTAAGAAATAACAAAGCCATTTAATAGTTGGTAAAAATGGAAACTAGGCTTTGAGGTTACAGGGGAAATAAATTACTACAGGATAGTAATCACTTTTTCTGGAAAGATTCATTGTAAATCCTAGAATACTTGATACCGTTTTTAATAGGCTAATTTAAATAAACTCAGATTTAGGTTTCCTTGCAAACTTCAGCGAAGATAACGTGTATTTTATTTTGTTCCACTTTTTACTAATACTCTTTAAATTTAAACATTTTAGTATGCGAGGCTTTAATCATAAACATGAAGAGTTTTCTAACAGCCCATCTATTAAAGGTAATGACAAGGATGATAGGAAATGTGTCTGCAAGGGGAGTGATGAAAAATATGTTTGTTTAACATCTAGAATTCTCCTTGCAACTGTTTCCACAGAGCTATTTTATTAAAAAGTCATCTTTTGGCTGCCCAGTCACTTCTGAGCTCACTCCAGAGAGCATAAATGATTCTTAATGTTTTCAGCAAACAAAATTTCATAATACTGGTGATGCATGATTTGGCATTAATTGCTTTTAGTTCATCCTCTTACTCATCTTTCATCATACCACTGTCCTCACTGTCCCTGTGTTTCCTTGGACTGGGTTTCACATCTGTTCCCCAACTGTGGGGGTATCTCTTTCCTTATATTTCTGCCTTCTGTCTTTTATAGACACTTGTGATTTAGGTCAGCTCTAAGCTAGTCTAGCATGTGGCCCAGGCTCAGAGGTGCCGAGTAGTGTCTGTTCCTTTTTGGATGGAGAATGAGAACTCAGAGAAATAGGCCCAAGCTCTATCGCGTTTATCATGGAGCAGCATTGCCCTTCTCACTTCTAAATGGAGATAAGATTTCAGCTGATCATCTGTTAAAAGTTTCTTAGCAACATATAGAGTACTCAGTAGACTGCTAAAATAAAAGCTATTGGTAAGTCATTTTTACATCGTTTCACGACATTACTCAGTAAGGTAGAACTCTAATAGACGATTAGTAAAGCTTAGTATGTGCCTCAGCCAGGCAAAAACTTCATATTTGAAGAGGCTGAAATCAAGTCAGTATCCTCTGAGATGTTACGTATCGGTCCCGGAGCCTCTGCCAGTTCTTCAGTTCTGTTTTATCTGGATTCTTGTTTTGCTGGTTTGTTGTGGCGTTGAAACGCGGCCCTGCAGAAGGAGCTGTGTGCCGAATGTTGTCAAACCCACCTCCAACAGGACTGACAAAGCTGAGAGGAGTAACTCGTTTCCCAACTTTGTTGCAGCAAACTTAAGCGTTAGTAAATTGTACCAATGTTAATAAAATGTCTTTTTAACCAAAAAAAAAAAAAAAAAGGAATGTGACAATCTCTTTAATCTGCAGAGAGGATCAGAAAGTCCCATATAGAGCTACAGGGGATGTGGGCAGGTCAGTGTCTAGCCCAGCCTCCTGTCAGAAATCTCCTCTTCCTGCTGGAGAAACATGGCAGTGATAAAAATACTGTGTGAGCACCTAAACACTCTGCCTGGCGTTGGCCACCACTCTGCCTGTGCCTATCTCCCACCATTTCAGTAACCAACTGTGTGATTTAAAGGATCTACGCCTATCTGGAGTTTTATTTCATTTTATAATCAGGACTGCACTGCATTCTCACCAGGCTCAGGCGTGCCATGTGCTTAGACAGTTTTCTCAACCTGGAAATTAACTTTGCACTGAAAACACACCAAAAAGTCATACTAGTTAACAAGATGCAGCCCAGTTCTTCGATTAGAATTTATGATCCTCACCATTTAATTAACATATGTAAATATTTTTTTAAATAACATTTTATAATCTCAATAAGGCACTTCAGTGCATGAATTATGGTGCATTAATTCATGCCTAGTTGCACTGACAGTATTTGGCCTTCTGCCTTGCTCCTGACAATACAGTCGGCATGAGTTAAGGCACCATATTTCACACCTTCATGTTTCGTAAGGTTTAGAAAAAGATAAAAATAACCAAGAGTAGTGAGTGTTTGGGCCCATGCAGAACAATCCGTGAGTCACTTTGCTGCAACTTGTAGATTGTCTTTCAGTCCCAAGAGTACTAGTACTTTTCAGATATAGAAAAATGACCTTGGTTTTGATAGCAATAATTGTGACTAAGCTGAAGTCACTCCAGTTAGCTTTATACTGGGTCGCTTGGTACTGATGGACAGACTAGCTCCACCAATACCACTGTCTGCCTAATCTTGCTGATACATAGCTGGCTGCTCAGGCTCTGCAGCCGGTACCACCAGTTCCTTCCTTCTCAGCAGTGGTGTTTGCATGAGCCACATTAAAGCTGGGCTCACTTATGCCTCCATCATCCCCAAGTCATTGAACGGATGTTTTTAGATAACTAGAACACAATTGTTATGCTGCCACAAACAGAGATTTAAAAGAAAAACAATTTAACTTTGATGCTCTCTTCTTCTGTTTTAGTACAAGCCCTGCACATAAATATTACTTGGCTGTTGATCCAGTGTCAGAATCCCTTTACTTGTCAGATACCAACACCAGAAAAGTCTACAAAGCAAAATCCCTCATTGAAACAAAGGATCTGGCGAAAAACGCAGATGTGGTGGCAGGAACAGGTGACCAGTGCCTTCCATTTGACCAGAGTCACTGTGGAGATGGCGGAAAGGCGTCCGAGGCTTCTCTCAACAGTCCAAGAGGTAAGAGAAGAGCATACCTGAAGTACTTGGTGTTGATCATCTGTCATTTCCTTCCGTTATTTAGAAACTCTGATGCAACTGGATGTACAAAAATGGGTCTGAGGTGGCGATTTAACCGTCTATAGGGAAGCCAAATCATTTCATAAAGCCCACTCGTGTTTTTAGTATCAACAGTCATGAGTAGCATGAGCAGCAGGCTCCAGTTAGCATCCTCTGAAATGCTCTTTCCTTCTGTGGCAACAGTCCTCTTTTATTACCTTTCAGTTGTAAGGTAGCAGCATTTAATTATATTTAACTTTTAAGCAAATAATGTGGTTGCAAAGACCATTTTTCAGATTTTTATGCATTGAGGCAATTCTTGTAATGTCAGTGGAGTTTACTCATACACATTAAGCCAGGGCTGTTCGAATCGCACAGACAGCAAAATCAAGTTCAGTTGGAACACGATTTTGTCCTTCCTTATTAAATGCACTTTGCACAACACGAGCATCTCACCTACTGCATGTGAAATCAGCATTTTGCTGCAGCATTCCTGTCAGAGTACATCTAGTATTGTCACAGGCAAAATGTGTGCGAAGCCTTGAATCCCCACTAGCGCAGTGTGCGTTGGAACTGTGATAAAGTCTCTCGATTTGGTGCTCAAAAGCAGCTGATCACCCTCAACTCCCACTGAAATCCCTCGAACAAAGGGTACTCAGCAGCTCCCATGGCAGAGCCCTGAGTGGGCTTTTAGCATGCTTCCCCCATAGCACACTGCTCCCTCCTAATGACTAGCTCTAAGGAAGGGTTTTGATTATTTTTCATGAGCTAATAAAGGAAGGGTGTATATCAGTAGGAAATTAGATTGTATATCCAGGCAGAAACGTCTCTGAGACAAGCAAATAATCCTGTTTTAAGGCTTAGCAAGAGACACATTGTAATTATAGAGTGACTTTAACATGTCTTTAATGATAGAAGGTAAGTGTGAGGTAAGTACAAATAAATGTTAATCTTCAGGCAGCTAATTAATGTAATGAATCAATTCTAAAAATAGTAGAAAACAAAGGTTTTCAGATCCTTTAGCAGGAAAATGATCGATGTTTTATTGCTGATTACAATTGATTATATCTAATTATGATACAATTAATTCTTCCATCTTATTTTCTTATTGGGGAAGTATGTTGGTGAAAATTTGTAGTATGCTATTTACTTTAAAAATACCCATGCAGGCTTCCTTAACAGAAGGTTCTAGTCATAAAGAAATTAAGAGGAATAAAAGTACAATTCACAAGTTCTGGGTCAGCCAGCAACTATTAAAAAAATTACCAGTTAGGAGACAATGGTTCATATATTGGCAAATTCAGGTAATGGCTCCCAGCTGGTTTTGATTTATGCATTACTCTGAATTGCATCAGTTTGGAACAGTCAGATTTGTTATGTTCCAGATTTTAATTTCAAGGAAGTGTGGATTGCCACATGCCCTTTTTGTACAGGGCCTAGCACGATGCAGCATCAACCCTGTAGTCACCAGCACAGTATGAACAGTTAGCTGTGTATTATGATAATGGCCTTATAAGTACCTGTCCTTGTTTTCCTCAAACCGTAAGAGGTTGAATAACCTTGGAAAGGAGTAGGAAGTACTTGCCTGGTACCCATAGATCTATTATTTATTAAGAAACCCAAGTCTCACATACTTAAATACAGTTTTAGAGAGTCTTTTGAATCACTTATTTTGCTTGTTCTTGGAATAATTGTCAAGTCAGAAGATGTCACATTTCTACTGACCTAACATTGAAACAGAATACAGAAAAATATTTTTTCTAGGAGGCAGGAAACACTGACAAAAATTTTGGAGAATCCACAGACTCACCATCTTATCCATATTTAAAAATACTTGAAACACAAAGCAACACGATATTATGTAGTATTTGACCACAGAAATAAATTAATTGCTTCTAATTTCTCACCTCTGAGATTTTTATAGTACAAAAATAAGTACCTGATAATGCAGATAGACAGAATAATTGCCAAGAGATTACTAAGTATAATCACTTGCATTACTCAGTGACCAGACAAGATTAGCATTTATTTTTTAAGCTGATACAGAAAAATATTTCACTTTTTTTCTTTCCTCATTTGCCTTCTTATTTGTCCCAAGTATTCCTTTTTTCCGGTTGTAAATGAAGTTTACCTGAGAGTTTATCTGAGAAAGAACTCCATTTAGTGGCCATCTGACCTTGGTTAGTTACAGCTCAAAAGTTATATTCTCATTTTTGCTACCGGCTGCTTGTGACTCCGAGTAAGGGCTTATCTATATGACTCAGTTTATCCATTTGCAAAATTGATAAGAAATACCTACTGCGTAACACTTGTGAAACTTAATCCTGTTTGGTAACATCCTCAGAAGTATGTTAACAAGTAGAAATTCAAATACTCTCTCTTACTTACTTTTTTGAGTGAAAGTTGCTTCAAATGCTGTTTTAACTTTTTTGAACTCAATGATTTTTCTGCTTTAGTGGGCATGCAGGTAGCATTTTGGAGAGTCGTAGATTATTTTTTTTATTATTTAAGTCTTTCATCGTTTTATTTCTCATTATGTTTATTTGGCTAGACTGCCTTTGCCTAGGAAAACACCTTCTGATGACAAGAAACACCAGAAGTCACACTAATCAATTATGATTTGATCTGCTTTCCACAACTTTTATTTTGCAGGTAACAAACACATGTAGCTTTGTTCAGTCTGTTCCCACTTCTCTGTGAAGGACTAGAGATGGGGCTTAGTGAACATTAATCTTGCACTATTGTATGTTGAGCTGACTTTGAAAGATGCTTTTAAACATGCATGGGTGATGTAGTTGAAATTTGAACTTCAATATATTATTTTTACTGCAACTTTCTTTAATTCTGTAGAGATCTCAGACTAATGAGTCATGTAATAGATGACCAAGTACTTAAGCAGAATGTGAAATGATACAAGGTGGGAACATAAAATAAGATCTGTGACAAGCTGAACACATTTATTACACAAGAAGATATTGAAAATGAAGAAGTAACTACACAAGATATTAATCATGGACTGAATTCCAATCACTTGGACTTTACTAAGTAACAGATTTTAATTTGGGGGTTGGGAATTCCATTTGGTGGGTTTGGGGATTTTTTGATAAAGAGTATTTATGCCATATCTAGTTACCAATGCTATCATTTAAACAATCTGGATTAGTATTTATAATAAGGCATTAAAGGATGGTCTCCTGATTTTAACTAGATTAGTCATTGAGTACTGGAACAGTAAGGAGCACTAAAATTAATAGAAGTACCTGGGAGTTGTTCTACTTTGCACTGCAAAGCCTGGATCAAAGGCATTAAACACTTACCCACCCTGCCCTTCTGAAATCAGTGGGCTTTAGACATGTGAGTAGATTTGACTTTCCAAGTTTAATTGACAGAGGCAGCGAGAGGCTGAGACAATCAAGTTACCAGATTTTTGCCGAGCTACAGTGTCTCCCAGTCAGTATAGTAAGAAAAGTGTCTTCGACTAACATCTGATTTCAATTACCTTGTACTTGTGACCAACTCGGAGCATTCTCACAGGACAGCTGTGGTGGAAACACAAACTAAGTAACTTTTGTGAAAACAGCAAGTCCCTCCTGTGACTGAACCCTAAGCATCAGAAGTGATTTACAACATTTGGAAGCCCAAGCACTAAATCCAAAGATTTCAGCATCCAAGGCCCTGCAGGGTCTGCTTTTTGTCTCCTGCGTCCAGACCAGACTCTAGAGCTAGAAGACAGATGCACACACTGTCTGTGCAAGCTGTGTGGACAGTCAGTGCCTCGAGAAATTAAAAACTGCGCACTGAGTACAGAGTACTTGAATGCAGTGCAGTGACCTCCCTACAGATGCAGTGACCTCAAAGCAAGCACCAGGGAAATGTAGAAGGTTGGAGTAAGTTCTAAATCCCATACATAAAAATACCTTGTCCACAGCTGTAGCAAAGAACCTTTTTCACTCAGATCCATGGCCATGAACTAGCAACGCAAATGAACGCTTGAATTAAAAAAAATAAGTTCTGCAGGGTAGTTTTATTCATTTTCCTTTAAATTACTAAGGAAATACTACTAAAAAAAAATCATTGTTTTGAAAATGTGTTCACCCCAGTAGCTTACATCCTGAAATAATCAGTCTTGTTGCTCACCATCTGCAGCAATACTTTCTAGAGTAAATAATGCTGTAAGAACAACTGCTCAGATTAAACCTTTACATTTGTTAAATGACAGTAGCTCATTTAGGGCCTGCTCCTGCTAAGCTAAAAGATTCCTGTTACCTTCAGTAGGATACACACCAAATTCCTGATATAATCTTTTTTGAAAACAAGACCCTCTTGTCACAAGTAGTGATCCAGACTATTTATTTAGCAATCTTTGCTACTCTATGAATTCCTAAGACCTTTCAACCCTTCCGTACAATTCAAAAAGGAGAGCAGAATGGGGTGAGATGTTCCATTAGTGATAATTAGAGTAAGAAGTAGACAAACCAAGGTTATTTGCAGCCTGAAATCATTGTCAGGTATGCATCATAGAACCAGCAAAAAATTCATCTCATGCCACTTTTGATTCAGCAAAATTTATTCCATATTTTTCTCTGCAGTAGTCTTAGCTACCTATGATTTCAGAAGTCCGCGAACCTGTGGAACACTTCAGGTAAAATTTTTTCGACACCAGGTTTTCCTAAATTTCATCCAACCTTGGTCTGAATGCATAAGTTATTCACTTTTTCTGCTAACCATTGTCAGCAGCAAGTAGGACCCCAGTCATCGTGTCTCAGACTGAAAGCAGGACATTTTCATTTGCAGTCAGTAGTTTAAAATGCTGTTTGCTCCAGCTCTACTGTTGCGCGTCTAAAGACAACAACACTCAAGTGCAAGCACTGAAGTCGTGTTCCAGTTGACAAAGAACTGCAGAATATTTTGCTGCTAGTACTGAGACAGTAATGAAGCAAAGATGACAAAGATCACAAAGC